GTGCATGTGCAGAATGTGCAGTTTTATTACATAGGTATACACGTGCCATGGCGGTTTGCTGTACCCATCAACCTGTCACCTACATTAGGTATTTCTCCTAATGCTATCCCTCCCCGAGCCCCCCACATACCAACAGGCCCCGGTGTGTGAGGTTCCCCTCCCTGTGTCCATGCGTTCACATTGTTCAATTCCTACTTCTCATTTTGTTTTTTAATGCCTTCTAGTACACCACCCAAAATGAAAGCATTCTCAATTGCGCTGCCAACACACATGCACACAAATAAAGAACAAATGAAGTGGACAAGTCTGCAATCCTATATTTGTACCTCCTTCTGTCTGTCTTAGGAACAAGACATCCTGGAGACTCCTCTGGATTTTGACCTCACTGAGGTTATTTCTCCAAGTGTTCTTTTTGATTTTCTAATCACGGGGATTGGGATAGGAATGGTGAAGCAAGTGCAAACTTAAGTTGGCATTTTTTTCCCTCCATACTATTGTTAAGTGTTGTAGTACTGAACATTTTAAATATGAGTCAAAAGATAACTTTATGTTCGCTGATCAAGGGGAACAGATAGAAGAATATTTTAATTTATGAAGCTTGTGTCCCAAAGTAGATTAAGTAATTGAACAAATAATGGTTTGAACTTTTCTCATTCAGAATGTTTATGAGGAAGTAAGGGAAAGAGATAAAATCCATGCTACTTATTTTAAGGAGAGCCAGGGGTTCTCATATGCATTTGAACAGATTGAAGTCTTTACATCCTACCCTATCTTTTTGGATCTCCCGGGGAAGAGAGAGTTGTGGATTCACAAAGTTAAGTCATGGTTCAGGAAAAGCCATGATCATTTCATTATCAGAAACCACACACAGCATGTGGGTAAACATGTCTAGACTTTTGGGAGTCTCCTCCCCAGAGCCCAAAGAGGGACAGTGAAGCCTGGGATATTAGTCCCATTTCCATTTTCCTTCTTAATCTATGTGCCTTGAACCAGGCAGATGGGTTACGAAAAAAGGAGGATAAAAAACAAATCCTGTGAATTATTTAGGTTAGCACATGGTTAACCTTAAATAAAGAGATTCAGAAAATATATTTAAGGATAGTTTATTTGAGCACAAAGCTTAAGGGTAGTCACATGGAAGACACCAACTCCAAATGAATGGGGTCAGCACTCCAAAGTGGAGGACGTAAGGTATCACTGATATAGGCAGAGACAGAGAAATTTTAGCAGGATTGTATTTTCCATATGGGACCATGAATAGTTACAGCACTTTGATTTGTTACAGATTGCTACATTCCAAGGAAGATTACTTTATTGCTCCTTGAAAAGGGATAGTGATGTGAGTGGGTCTTATCTCTAGCGCAATTTGGTTTTAACTATTTATAGGAAAAAAAGGCAGAAGTTACAGCTGCCTGCTGCATGGCTCAGGCTGCATAGCCACACTCTTCTTATGGCTCAGAATAATTTAAAGTTCCCCCAGCTATAAGTTTGAATTGTTTTAAGTTAGAATTATTTAATTTCACAATATACAATTCTTTGGTAGGAATCCCATTCCCTTGGAAATTTAGTAGTAACTTAAAAAAAAAAACTTTTTATTTTGAGATAATCAGATTCACATGCAGTTGTAGGGAATAGTCCGGAGAGATCCCAGGTACACTTTACTCAATTTCCCTCTAATAATAACATTTTGTAAAACAATAGTGCAACATCAAACTCAAGATATTGAGACAGGTACGATCCACCAGTTTTGTTCAAATTTCCTGTTTTACCTGTACCCATTTGTGTGCGTGTCTGTTTATGCACATGTGCTTGTGTATTTACTTTTATGTAGTTTTAAAAAAAGAGACTTTGTGTTTTAGCACAGTTTTTGGTTCACAGCAATAATGAACAGAAGATACAGAGATTTCCTATATACTCCCTGCTCCTACACATGGATAGCCTCCCCTATTATAAACAGCCTTCACCAGGGTGGTACATAATTTTGCAACTGATGAACTTACACTGACACATCATGGTCACCCCAAGTCCATAGTTTATATTAGGGTACACTCTTGGTATTGCACATCATATGATTTTGGATAAATTTATTATGACATGTACCTACTGTGATGGCATCATACAGAGTAGTTTCACTACCCTCAAAAATCTGTGCTCTGCTTATTCATCCCCTTCTTCCCTAACCCCTGGCAACTGCTGATCTTTTTACGTCTCCAT